ACTTTGATTCATTTTTGTTAATAAAACGTGGTCACCTAAAGTCCTTGGATCTCCATATTGGACCCCAAAACCAAACTCTTCCATTTGTGTGACTGTGGCTTTCCTCCCTAAAGTAGGGTTTGGTGGTCCCTAGTACACATTCCAGGAGGTTGCAGGGTGGGAAGGGGTGTCCTACTGTTTGAATTTTTAATTTAATTTACTTTAATTTCCCCATTACCCATCCTACACCCTACAAGAGAACTGTCAAAATGGCTTTTCCAGTATACTACCTTGGAAAGCTTTTTCTGGATGCTCCTCGGGTCCATGAAATTGGATCAGAATTATCAGGGGCCTTTTCAAGAACTGACGTTTTCCAAGTCTATCAATTTTTTCATGGCTGTATGCTGTAATACAATCTCTGCTGAGCACTGATTCAGTAAATGTTTAGAAATCACAGGGCCATCCACCAAGAGAGACAACTGGGTAATTAGTTGTTAGTGCTTAGACCAGTTGAACCCGGCAGGAAATTTAACTGGATTTCTGTTCACAAAGGGCCAAAGTAGTTAGATGAACTACATTTGAATTCTGGATCTATTATAATCTTTGTGGCCTTGGGCAAGTCACTTGGTTTCTCTGGGCCTCAGTTTCCTTATCTGTAAAAAAGTAGGGCTTGAACCTCAAATTTGTAAAGTGTTTAGCCCGGTGCTTGGCACATAGAGTAGATGCCTACCAAAGGTTATTCCTTCCCTCCCTCTAAAGCCCAGTCCCTGATCACTCCTCTTCTGTCCAGTTTTCCCTTCCTGTTTATCTTAATATGAGTAATGTTAGAGACAGATGTCTTTGCTTGTCACTTATACAATTTCAGGGTGACCCAGATAAGCTTCGAAAGTTGGTCTGTGTCTGGTAATGCTCCGATCTTGTCTTTGGGGCCATACCTGTTCCTTTTGTGGTGAGACTATGAGTTTAAGTGTTAAAATGCCAGGAAATTCAACGGATTCTTTTATGTTTGTTGTGGAAAAACTATCCTAAACCAGGCAAAATCAATAAATAATGCAAACTTTGTGTGTAGGAACTATGCTAAAGCCACTGCTTCTACCAGACCCCATTACTCTTCCTCTACCCCTCCTCCACCTCCTCCATGGAAATAACCCAACTGGTTAGCAGGCTTTTACTAGGCTAGGCCCAGTTGTCCTTTCTCTTTCTACTCATCTGTCAAATGAGGCTGGTTTGAGAGGCTAGGAGCTTGTAAATGGACAGAGACTTGGTTGCCTATTTACTCACATTCCATTTATGAGGAGGAACTGATATTAAATTCAGAAAGTAGGAATGTTTCAAAGCCCCTCCCTTTGACGGAAAGATCTTAATTAACTTGGATGTCACTGTTGTAGATCAAGATGATTTCTGTGCCTCTGATGTGTTCTACTAAAATAACTTGAGAAATTTCAAGTAATTCAGTTTGCCTTCATTGGAGGAAATAAGGGACGGGGTACACTTTGCCCCCAGCGAGCGAAGTGATTTGCACATCCCAAGTGTGCCCCCTCATCCTTTACTAAAGGATGCCACTATTTATAGAGCAAACAAACCAAGGACTTCGTACATTTGTATATGGCTGAATGGATAATAATAGCTAGCATTGATATAGTATTTAGAAGTTCACCAAGGACTTATACTCTGTTGATCTTCATAACAATCCTGGGAAGTAGGTGCTGTTTTTATTTTCCCCACTGGGGGAAAAATCTGGGGCTGAAAGGATTACCTGCTAGTACATGTCTAAGTCAGGATCTGAATTCAGGTCTTCCTGATTCCAAGCACTCTATCCATTATGTCACACAGAGGCCTCATGGTGTAATGCTTTAATGTCTGCAAAACCTTTTACATATGTGTATAATATATATATATATATATATATACACATCATCTCGTTTGTTTCTCTCAACCATCCTATGAGGTGCTATTATTACCCTTCTTCGATAGGTAAGGAAACTGAGGCACAGGTGAAGTGACTTGTCAGACACAATTCAAACTCAGTTTTCCCTGATTCCACCATCCACTTTGCCTCCGTAGCTGCCATCATTTACGATAGGATTTCTCCACTGAAAATTGGTAGGGGTAGATTGTGAACTCATATCCCCATTTTACAGATGAAGGAACTGAAGCTCGGAGAGGGGTGAAATGAGTTGCCCAGCCATGATTCATTCACACAGCCAGCCTTCAGACCAGGCTTCCTAGCTTCTACATCACACCCTTCTCTCCAGTTGACTGCATTATTATTGGTAGTTTTGGAGAAAGCCTAACCACTTGCTGGATTCCCTAGCCAGTGGCTTTTGAAGCTATTGTCCTTTCCTGGGCAGGGTTAATCAAAGTTTCCCCACAGTTTTGGAGTTCCTCTCCTCTCTTTCCACCTATTTCATACTTATCTCCCCAGCCGTCAGCAGAAAAGGTTCAGGTTTCAAGGAAGGGCGGTTCCCACACTGGATCTGGAAATTCCGGTTGAGGCTGCTCTCTCCTTGGGGCTGGGGGGCAGGGCAAGAGACTCCCCTCTCCATTTTTCTATGGGGTGGGGCCTTGACTAAGGCTGAGAAGGGCTTTAGAATTAGGTGCTTCTGTGACATTCTTTCCAAAGCCATTTGCCTTTTCTGAGATTTTTGGGTCTCGAACCACCTACCAACCACAAGGCTTCCCTCCAACTTTCATTTCCCCCCCACTTCTGGTTGCGGCAGGAATCTGGCAGGTGGAGCCGGCTTGTCTGGTATGAGAAAGCGACCAGGTGCTTTCTACATGGCCCTTTCTACTACCGTGACTCTCACTTGTGAAAGCTGCTTCTGCCCACAGCCGGGGCCATTTCCTCAAATGCTTCTTTGCCAGCCACTTCAAATACAAAAGCTACTGGCCCACTTTCTAGGGCCCTATTGTCCCTCCTCCTGTCTTCTTTTGCAGATAGCAGAACTAGACAATTCAGAGCCAATATGGGAGACAAGGCATGATTTCTGACTTGTTATACACTATGCCTAATGAAAGCGAGCCAGGGACTGGTGGTAGACAAATTCAGAACTAATATGAGAGACAAGGCAGGGTTTCTGACTTGTTATAAGTTATGCCTAATGAAAGAAAGCCAAATCATTAATGAAGGAATTAGAGATGAATGGGACCAGAGGTTCTTAACTTGAGGTTAAGAAACTCTTTGATAGACATATTTCAGTATGATTGATTTCCTTCATGTGTATTTTATAGACATAAAAACATGATTCTGAGATGGGGGTCCATAGGCTTCAGCATGCTGCCAGAGGGGGCCCGCTCATGACATAAGAAAGGTTGAAAACCCCTGGACTGGTTGATCCATGTTTCTCTTTTCAGAGCAGGCAACAGGCCTCAGAGGTGTAGTTGGCACAGGATACAGAACCCAGATTCAAACCAGATTCTTTCCACTATACTGTTTCTCTTGGTACCATACAATCTCTGCCTTCAGAGGCTGATCCTAAAACAATGCTGAGGATGGTTGGGAGGTAAGAGGGTCAGGTCAATCCTTGCGTCTGAATCGGAAATACTACAGCCTAAGAAGCAATATGTGATGAGGAAAATACTGAACTTGAACCCAAGTCTTCTGATGTTAAATCTTGGCTCTGACACTGGCAAAGTCCTAAACTTTTCAGAGCCTCCATTTCTTCATCTGTGAAATGAGTGAATTAGACAAAAGAGAGACTTGTTTTTGCTATGGCTGGAGAGAAACATGGCTCTCTGGCATCCAAACTGTTGCCTAGGGGGACACCAGATGGGGGGAAAAGGAACTGCAGTCAAAACTTTTCATAGGGAATTTTTTTTTAGAACAAATTCAGCAGCACCTGGCCAGGTAGCAGAAAGAGAAATGGCCCTCAGAATTAGAACGTTGAAGCAGTTTGATTTAGCAGATATTACAATGCAGAGAAGTTACAAGTACCTAATAGCAATTTAGAGGGAAAAATAGATGCATGTTGACATCCCAGAATTTCAGTTTACTTCAAAAACAAAAACAACCCTTGAAATTAAGAACCCTAAACAGGGCCTATTTTGGGGCTCCTACTTTGATAAGGTCCAGCTATGTGATTTCTTTGGTATGGGGAGCTCTAGGTAAAGAAATTCTACTGTGAGTTTGCGACTTTGGAAGGGCACATAGCTACTACGTGTCAGAGGCAGGTCTTCCTATTCTAGCTTTCCGTCTACCAAGTGACATTGCATGTTACTGTACACAGGTTGGTTCAAGTCAATGTCATTTAAGAAAATTTTTAAGAAATTAATTAACATATATTTGTTTTCCTATTTCTCTCATTACCAAGTGAGATAATATTTGTAAAGCACATAAACGGTACTTAATAATTATTCCTTCTTTCCCTCCCCCTCATCAAAAGGAAAAATATATTTAAAAAGTTTTTTTAAAGTCTTCCTAAAGTGTCTGAAGCCCTCCCCTTTATCATCTCTTATCTTACGATAGTATTCCATTACATTCACGTACCATAATTTATTCAGCCACCCCACTGCTGATGTGCCCTCCCTTAATTTCTGTCACAAAGTCACTTAGCCCTGTTTGCCTCAGTTTCCTTACTTGTAAAATGAGCTGGAGAAGGAAATGTCAAACCAATCTAGAATTTCTGCCAAGAAAACCAAATGGGGTCATGAAGAGTCAGACATGATTGAAACAACTGAACAACGACAGTTTGGGTTGTATCTCAAATATCCTGTTGGAAGACCATCTGTAGTTTGATACTTAAACGTACAAGCTCTTTACCTATTTGTACCCCCTTTTGCCCAGTTCTTGATGGGTGGATGAATTGAGTGTTCTTTCCACAAGGAACTCCCTGGAAGGGAATGGTACCATCCGTTATGATTCAACAAATCTTTGTTAAAAGCTTACTTTGTGCCAGACACTCTTCTAGATACTGGGGATATAAAGACAAAAAAAAAAAAAAAAAAGGCAGGCCCTGCCCTGTAGAAGCTTCCGCTATATACTGATCTGACAAGTTCTCATCAGATATGTATGTACTTTGCAGTTCACTTTGAAAGCTGTTCTGAAAGAAAGCTGAATGCCTATTTCTCTGAGGATTCAAGATTCAAAGTGACTTCTGCGGGTGTCGTCATTGTCAAGAGGTCTCTACAACTCCATGATTTAGAAACAAGCTTTAATATCTATGCTTGGGATGCTGCAGGTAAAAAACTCTCAACCAGATTGACAGTGAAGGCACCATCAATACGACATCGACGGCACCACCACCACCACCAGCACAGAGAGGTATTTTGGAGCATTTGTTTGTTGATTTGGGGGTATTCTACTCCAACTCTGATTTCTTATCTTTTGACTTCATTCTCCATGCTGGACAAATAATTAGTTCTCTGTGTTTGTCTTAAGCTTCATAGGATTTTAGAATTTAGAGTTGGAAGACAACTTAGAGATGTCTCACTCCTTCGAGAAACTTGCATTCTACAGGTAGAGACAGCCACATGTACTCATAGGAATTATATACAAAATTCTTGGAGAGGAAGGAGGCGCTACCAGCTGGGGGGGGGAGCAGGACAAAGACCTCATGGATGATGTAATTTTAGGAAACATCAGGAAATGGGGGCCGCTAGGTGGTGCAATGGGTAGAGCACCGGCCCGGAAGTCAGGAGGACCTGAGTTCAAATCCGGCCTCAGACCAAACACTTGACACTTACTAGCTGTGTGATCCTGGGCAAGTCACTTAACCCCAATTGCCTAAAACAAAACAAAACAAAACAAAAAAAAAGGAAGTATCAGGAAGCTGGCAGATGCAAGAGAGGGAATGTCTTATGAACAATAGCAACAAGACTAGTTTGGCTGCTGGTACTGTCAGACTCATACAAATTGGTCCCCGGTGAGCTACATATTGACTTTGATAACCACAAACTAACTATGTTTTATTGTATTTTTATTTCATTAAATATTATTTTCAGTTTCAGATGCTTTCTCACCCTCTTTCCGACCCATTGAGCAAGCAATCTGATACCCATTATAGTCATGCAAAACGTCTCTGCATCAACCATGTTTAGGGGATGGGAGGAGGCAAGAAAAAAAAATAAGCTTAATCTGTATTCAGAATCTATCACTTCTGTATCAAGAGATGGACAGCATTTTATTTCATAAGTCCTTTTGAGATCCTTGTCGCAATTACATTTCAATTTAAGTTTTGTGTTGTGGCCACAAGCAGAGTAATGTATATTTGCAAAGGTAAATTGGAGCCAGATTGCAAAGAACTTGATGTGACAAACTGAGGCATTTGTATTTGATTCCAGAGGGAAGTAATAGGCAGCTACAGAAGTTTATTGAGCATAAGAATGGCACAGTCCTACCTGTGCTTTAGGAACATGGTGCTTGCTGTGTTGCAGAATAGATTGAAGAATGGAGAAAAGCCCCAAAGCCCATTTTAGGTTGCTAGAGGCAAGGAGATTATTAGGCTATTGCAATAGCACCCTTAGTGCTGATGACTCCATTAGAATACAAGCTCCCTGAGGTTTAAGGACTGTTACTTATTTGTGGTGGTTCCTAGAACTTAGCATAGTGCCTAGCACATGGTAAGTGCTTAATAAGTACTTTTTCATTTATTAAATGGGCACATACACATATATACACATCCCATGCAATACCTAAGTATAGTCACCCAAAACAAATACATTAGCAGAATTTTGAAGTCTTTTAGTTGTTTTTCTTTACGATGTTGTATGCATTGAATAAACTTTCTTCCCTGACTCTCATTTCACCGTGCTGTTGCCCATACAATTCCTCCCAGGTTTCTCTGAATCCTTTTGTCATTTCTTACAGTGTATTCCATTCCCTTCATAGACTTGTTCAAGCAATTGGTTGGCATCCACATTCTGTCTCATTCTTTTCTGCCATATTTTTGTTCATGTGCATGGGTCCCTTTTTCTTTGATCTTGTTCCTTTCTCATTAAGAATACAAAAATTTGGTGCAGAGAGTATCTCTATGAAATTTGTGTGAGAAAGCAGAAATGTGGATTAATTGTTACTGATCTTGGTCATTTCCTTAAAAAAAAAAAGCAACACTGTTTGTAATCTTTCCTGTTCTTTGGAATTTTCCCTTTACCCTCCTGAGATGAAAATTGAGCCTTTGATTATCTTTAAAATTGTGCTAACTTAACCACTTCAAAACATGTCTCTTCCATCTATTTTTTGAGCCCAAGTATAAGGTTTTATTTTTTGTCTCTATTTCTGATTAGATTTAGCTATGTGTTCTAACCTCTTGATCTTGAATTACAAAAGATCTTGAATTACAACCTTCTCTACCAGTGTCTTAGCTACCCCACCCAATTTTTTTGAGTTTCTTCTTCTTTTTTTTAATTTTTAATTTATGGACTAAAACAATTCTATAACATAGTATAATTTAAAATATGATTATATGATGATATATATAAAATAATAATATATACAAATATGATTATATGATAAAAAAGATGATTGCACATGAAACTGCAAATCTATTATATACAACTGGCTATTCCTTTTAAATATATGTAAGGTCTGGAATTCCCCTGGCTGGGGAGTCCTGTATCTCCCCCATAACCATGGGACCTTCTTTTTATACCAAAGGAAGAGGCCATAGAGCTCTAGATGGATTATAGGAAGTAATTTAATCAATCACTATAAATATTTTGGGTGGTAGCCAGACAGTTCTGTGGATTCCCACTAAAGGACCCCCAAAACCCCCATGGTAATTATAGAAAACAAAGGCAGGAGAAGCTAGAGAGTACATCACTACTGATTGGTGGATATTTTTGGTTTTCTGCTTAGTAATGAGCTTGGGAGTTAAGCCAATGTTATGCCCAAACATAAGTTTGTGTATCAATCATATCCTGGTCACATGATATTCTTGTTATGACTTTCATAGATCCAGAATATCTTAAGTTTTGACTCAACTAAAATATAACTGTAAACAGGTCACTGTGTTCACAGAGTTTAAGTTTTTATGACTTTTCACTTATTACTTATTATTATACACTTATTATTATTATGTATTTTAGGGCTTTTTCCCAATATGAACCCTACAATATACAATAAAGTTATTAAGTAAATTTCTTTTTCCTCCTCCCCCCTCCTAATGGCTACCATTAGACACAAATAGGGGTGTGTGTGTGTATGTATATAAAATTATTTTATGCATTCTTCTATTTATCAATTGTTTCTCTGGATGCAGATAATATCTTTCTTCATATGTCCTAAATAGTTAATTTGGGTATTTGTAATAGTCAAAATAACTTAATTGCTTGAAGTCATCCTTTTTTTAAAATTTTTAATTAATTTATTTTGAATTATCAACAATCATTTCTATAAGCTTTTGAGTTTTAAATTTTTCTCCCCCTCCCCAAGGCAGCACGCAATCTGATATAGGCTATACATATATATATATATCTATATATAGAGAGAGAGAGAGAGAGATATATATATATTCCTATTAAACATTTTCACATTAGTGATGTTGTAGGTAAGAATTAGAACCAATAGGAGGAACCACCAGAAAGAGGAAACAAAACACAACAGAACAAAAAAAATAGCAAATAGTATGCTTCGACCTGCATTCAAACTCCATAGTTCTTTCTTTGGATGTGGATAGCATTTTCCATCATGAAACTTTTGGAGATGTCTTAGATCCTTGTATTGCTGAGAAGGGTTAAGTCTATCAATATTAGTCAACACACAACGTGGCTGTTATTGTGTACAATGTTCTCTTGGTTCTGCTCACTTCACTCAGCATCAGACCATACAAGTCTTTCCAGGTTTTTCTGAAGTCAGCCTGTTCATCATTTCTTAAAGCACAACAGTATTCCATCATATTCATATACCACAACTTGCTCAGCCATTCCCCAGTTGATGGGCATCCTCTCAATTTCCAATTCTTTGCCACCACAAAAAGAGCTGCTGTAAATATTTTTGTACATGTGGGTCCTTTTCCCATTTGTATGATCTCTTTAGGATACAGCCCTAGAAGTGCTATTGCTGGGTCAGAGGTCAAAGTCATTTTTTTTTGTTGTTCAGGCAATTGGGGTTAAGTGACTTGCCCACAGTCACACAGCTAGTGAGTGTTATGTGTCTGAGGCTGGATTTGAACTCAGGTACTCCTGACTTCAGAGCCAGTGCTCTATCCACTGCGCCATCTAGCTGCCCCATCAAAGTCATTCTTAAAACAATAATGCTGTTACTGTATATGATGTTGTCTTGGTTCTGCACATTTCATTCTTCATTATTTCATGCAAGTCTTTCCATGTTTTTCTAAGATCATTGAGCTCACCATTTTTCCACCCAATTTTGTGTCCTTCATAAAGTAAGCATCCATTTAACGGCAGGGTAAAAATCTTATTTATTCATTTGAAGGCTTCTTTCTCAGTCATAATATTACATTCATCACAGTAACAGTCTTCAAAATCACAGTACGAACCGTATGTAAAATCCCATTAAATCAGTTCTAAGGTCTTTCTTACTAGGATGGACGTCATTGAAGAAGCTTGTCCATGCTCAGAAAACTAGAGAACCTGGCATTCATTGTAAGTTTGAATTGTTAACCTTCTGGTTTCCATCTTGATTGACAGCTCTTTGGAATATCTCTCCTTTTAGGAATCTCTCCCAGAAGAACAGAGAGAAGTACTGATGTTTCCCAGCTCTCGCTCTGGTCTTAAGAGGCAGAAGAGAGACTGGGTTATCCCTCCCATTAGCTGCCCCGAGAATGAGAAGGGTCCATTCCCTAAAGTCTTGGTTCAGGTATGGAAGGAAATACTTTTTTTTCTTTTTGGTGGGGTAAGGTTGGGGAGGAGCTGTCTTGCTGTGAAGAAACAGCAAAGGAAATTGTTGACGAATGAGAGAGAATTTCAGTCCCCATGGCTTACGAAGCTGTTTCTGTTTTCTTTAGATCAAGTCCAACCGAGATAAAGAAACAAAAGTTTTCTATAGCATCACAGGACAAGGGGCAGATGAGCCTCCACAAGGGGTCTTTATTATTGAAAGAGAAACAGGGATCCTGAAAGTGACAGCGCCTTTGGACAGAGAAGACATTCCAAGATACATCGTGAGTACCTCCAGGAGCATTTCAGGAGAATCCTGGTCCTGGTTTTTCTAAATATTTTGGGTCAGCAATGTAGAATTCCCCTATAATTTAGTCAATCAGTTATTCAATAAACATTTATTAAGTGCCTACTATGTGCCAGGCAATGTGCTGAGTGCTGGAGATACAAAAAGAGGCAAAAGACAGTCCTTGCCTTCAAGGATCTTACCATCTAATTGTGGAATAGCAGCAAGACCACGAGACTTAGAGCCAGGAAGACCTGAGTTCCAGTCTTGCCTCAGATACTTACTAGCTATTTGACCCAGACAAGTCACTTAATCTCTCTCTCTCTCTCTCTCTTTTCCTGTTTATCTCTCTCCTCCGTTTCTCTCCCCTCCTTCTTTCCCTTTCTCTTCCTCTTCATTCCTCTTTCTCACCCTCTTCCTCCACTCTGTTTCTCTTTCTCCTCTTTCTTCCTCTCCTTCCTTTCTCTCTGTCTCAATTTCCTCATCTGAAAAACTGGCACAATAGTAGCACTTTACTTCACAAGGTTGAGAGGATGAAATAAGATAATCATATGTAAAGCACTTTGCAAACCTTAAAAAAGTTTATGAAAAATTGAAAATATGGACAGATGAAAGGATGTTATATACATACTAGTTGCTACAATCATTATTAGTTATTGTTATCCTATTCTAATGGCTTTTTTTTTTTAAAGCAAAGAGGTATTAATGAGTTAGATAGCTATGCCAGGAATTTGCTAATTCAGTCCATTAACACCAGGCTAGGTCTTTGAGTGTAGACCTCATGTGGGTCTGTTATCCAGATCATCACCAGCTTAACCAAAAGGTGCCAAATTTAGATACCTGAATTCAGATGACTCATCTGGTCATGGGAAGAAATTATTGTTATTCCATTAGTAAGAAGAAACACCTAAGGTGCTCAGGACATTTTAGGGGTCTAGATTGCTTCTTGGACAGTAAGAAAGAGATGGGATGTGGCAGAGCCATTCCCTAGGATGGGTGACTGGGATCTTGCCCCCAGGTCCCAGTATCTAGGGGAGTGGTATCCCTCCTTCCCACAGTAGTCTAGAGACTGCTTCTTGAAACTCTGTTTGTCCCTATGGGGCACGATATTTGGTGGGGTGGGAGGAGTCAGGCCCTGGGAGAAGCCAATGGGGAGCTTATTTAAGAGTTTAGGGGAAGAGATATGATTCTCCTCATGCCCAATCTCAGTTTGCTCAGGTGCCAGCTTTTCAGCTCTGGGAAGAGTTCATTCCCATGCATTATATACATCCGAATAATGCAGAGATTTGATCTAGAACACAAACCCATTCCTTAATTTATGTGGTGTCTGATACCATATGGACCATGTGATGATGATGGGCTATGAGGCAGCAGCATGATCTGAGCATAGTTAGAGATAGTTGATGAATATCAATTTCCCGTTTGTCTTCTGAACAGTTGAAACCAGCTCACAAAGAATCTGGGCAAAATATTAGTGTCTATGATCTAGAATAGATTACTTATCCTTACTAGGAGTAAGAATTTTTCTTTTAACTCTCCTATGAGCAAAGTTTCTTTTGCCAGCCAGTATAGAGAGAATGAATAGATGAATTTAAGTGCCTGGTGTTAGCAATAATTTGGTAGAAATTGGCTGACCAAGGAATAGACATTTTCCTGTCCTACTGTGAGAGATAACTTAACTTAGCCATGAGAAGCTAGTTTGCCATAACAGTAGTTGAAATATTGCTTAAATAGCATTAAATATTTAAAATTAATTTCCTGATATGGAGGATTTTGGGGGGGGAGGGTCAGAGTGAGAGAAGATTAGATACCACCCTCTTGGAGACTCTCCATTTGTATTGCCCTTTTCCCCATTTCTTCATTCTTAGTTAGCCCCCATGTGACTCTCTAATTTTAAATTTACAGCTTTACTCCCATGCTGTGTCTTCAAATGGCCAATCTGTGGAGGATCCAATGGAGATAGTGATTAGAGTAACAGATCAGAATGACAACCGTCCTCAGTTTATACAGGAGGTGTTCAAAGGATCTGTGATGGAAGGAGCTCATCCAGGTATTTTTTTTTTAATAAGACAAATTCCAAATGAATCAACAACAATCTAAATGTAATAAAAGAAAAAGCACATAAAGGAGCCTGTTATATCCTTTACCCTTGGAGAGGGGATAAATTATTCACCCATGATTTAAAGACATAATATGTTTGATTATAGAAAGAGTTGATGTACAACAACAAAAAATACATTTAAATCAAAAGGAAAGAAACAAAGTAGGGGAAAAATCTTTCCTTCAAATATTTTTGACAAGCCTCATCTGAAATTCATAGGACACTTTATAAAAATAAGAACCGTTCTTTAATAGCAAAGGAATGCTTCCATAAATGGAATACATTGGAAAAAGAAATTGAATAAATGGAAAAAAAAATAAATAAAAGTTACATTAAAAAATATTAAGAAGTCAACAACCACGTGGGAAAAAAATTCGCCTAATTTCTGGTAACCAGAGAATGCAAATTAAAACAACCTGAGGGTCATCAAATTGACAATGATAAAATGACAGTTCAATGCCAGTATGACTAGTAAAGCAGGCATGCCATGCCATTGTGTGATGAGTGGAATTAATTTAGTGTCCCAATCACTAGGGAATGGACAAGTAAATTAGAATATGAATGTTATGGGATGTTACTGTACCCTAAGAGTCAAAGTTGGGAATAATTGAAGGAAATTATGGGGATACATGAAATGATGGTATAAAGAAAGCAGAGCCAAAAGAACTGTGTAATTAGAAACAACAATAATTCTATGTTAAACACAGGGAAGGTCAAGATACCATGAAAATAAGGACATTAGATGCTATTGTCTTAAAATCTATATCTGTATCACATGGATTGAGTTTTGGTTTTTGTCCAGACCCGTGATAGGAGCTGCATATAGAAACTCCCTCATCTCATGCCAATCTGTAACTTATAAATTTGTTGCAAGTGAGATCTTAAGTGACTTTCCCGTGGTCACAAAAAATCAAAAAACACTCGAGCTCACATCTTTTTATAGAACCTCCCTTCCCTACTGTGGGATGCTGACTACTATACCATGTTGCCTTCCTTTGGGGTAGGATGACAATCAGTGAGTAAAACTTTCATGGATGTGACTTTATTTTATTTTTGCTTTCTTTTGTTTATTTTTAATATATTCCTGTTTATATGTTTAAATGCCTGTGTCTGTTACATTTGTGTTAGAATAAAACTCAGGCACATTCCCATTAAATTAAACCCAGAAAAGTTGCAGTTTTTCTTTTTAAAAATTTTTTTCCTATTAACTTATTTTTAGATTTCAACATTCACTTCCACAAGATTTTGAGTTCCAAATTTTTTCCTCATTTTATTCCTCCCCCCACCCCAAGATGGCATGCATTCTGAATACCCCTTCCCCTAATCTGCCCTCCCTTCTATCTTTCCTCTTCCTCTTTTATTTTCCTGTAGGGATGCATAGTTTTTCACATCTGGTCATGAACAGGTTTTAAGGGATTAAATGCAGCCCAGTAAAAGTAGCCCTTTAGCTGGATGGATTCTCATCTTTAGATGCCACAAAAAGTGTCATCCAATCAACAAGCATTTATTAATCTCCACCTGTGTGCTGGGTACTTTGCTGGTTGCAGTTTTGCTTGGTGACACACACTAGCCACGTAACTACGGGCTTTAACCTCTCAGTGCCTCCAAGTAACTAATAAGTCGCCGATCTACCCTGGAGGAGGAAGTTTCTACAATGGAGCTTCCTACACAGATGAAATTACTGAGTATATTTTTTAAAAATAATCCTCAAGAAGCTTAGGTTCATCTCCAAACAATTAATGGCTTAAAAAAAAAATGGCGAGCAAAGCTTCAGACATCTTCATGCTTCTCTTGAATCTTATTTATTCTGAGAGTTGAGGCCCAGACCTTCTATGAAAGGAAAGCGAATTCTTGTCCTTTGCATCTCTTAAAATGCGGAATTTAGTTAACAAAACATTCAGATAAAATTTAAAACGATCCTATAAGCCCTAAATCGTTTTTTGCAATTAGTTTTTTAATTTTATACAAATTTATTTCATACAAAATGTATACAATTCAAATTTATACAAAAGTCTGTTACTCATTTCCATTTGTAGGAATTAGAAAACAGGGTAACTAATCATATCCTCAAACTCTTCTTTTTCTGCCTCTACTTAAGAATATCATTGATGGGGGTGAATGTTGCCCAGGATATCTTACTGTATCCTGAATAGTACCTGTGCCTTGAACTCTTCTCTGCTTTCAAATTTCCAGGTACCTCCGTGATGCAGGTGTCAGCCACTGATAAGGACGATGATGAGAATACCTACAATGCTTTGATCGCTTATTCTATTCTTAGTCAGGAGCCCAAGGCACCCCATGATAGTATGTTCACCATCAACCGGGCAAATGGAATCATCAGCGTGGTCACACCTGGCCTAGACAGAGAGGTGTGTGTGTGTGTGTGTGTGTTTGTGTTGTTTTGTCATAGCCAGCAATGTTCCTGAAAGCTATTTCTAAGCCTCAAGTGATAGGCAAATGACCCTCTCTCTCCTGGAGTTCTCAGGTGTACGTGACTTAAACTTGGAGAGGAGGAGGGTTATTGGTTTTAGAGCAGACCATGGTTTGGAAAAGAAGTCTCCTTGGCCTCCATGAGCACAGGGCTCATCACCATTCATCTGGATGACTGGATATACCTGTCATAGATACCATTTCTCTGGGCTACGAACAGGCTTAATCATTCTCTGTCAGCCTTCAGTAATCACAAAATCTGTAGATGGCCTCCATTTCCCTGCTCTTCTCCCTAGGTCTGCCTCCCCATTATTTATGATTTGTATGACATTAAAATCCAGTGAGATAAATCTGATTATTCAGGGCATTATTAAGAATTTGATTGTTGAGGGCCAGATGTCAATTGACCCAGATACCTGGGGCCAATTGGAATCCCTGTTAAGCCCTATTATGAGTTTCTGCATTGATGGTCTGAGTAGGTATCCAATAATTTGCTTATTAAGAAGAGTGATTTGGGGGCAGCTAGGTGGCACGGTGGATAGAAATCCATCCCTGGAGTCAGGAGGACCTGAGTTCAAATCCGGCCTCAGACACATAACACTCACTAGTTGTGTGACTCTGGGCAAGTCACTTAACCCCAATTGGCACACACACCCCCCCAAAAAAAAAATTTAAAAAGAGTGATTTGGCCCTTACTTTCCCGGCTTTGTGCGGGCTTCTCAGCTTAATAATTAGAAGGAAGGGGAACGTGAATGTCTTCACTGACCATAAAAGGGTTTCAAAAAAATTTGGCATGCTGTGAGTAACACTGGAAATTGGTCCTGATTATTGTGTGTTTGTTTTGCAGAGCAACCCAGAGTATACACTGATTGTCCAAGCTGCTGACTTGGACGGAGAAGGTCTAAGTACCACAGCCACAGCGATGATTACAGTCACGGACACGAATGACAACCCTCCTATCTTCAACCCAACTACGGTAATCCTGGTGCCACTCATGGCTGTAGTTGGTGATATAGCTTTGTATGGAAATGCCACACAGCTCAGCAAAGTTAACTCTGACTGAAACTGAAGAAGGGACGCATGTGTGCTCATATTTATGATAGGAGCCTTGGCTTCCGATGTAATCACATCGAAGGTGGTTTGGATTTGTTCCACTTGGCCTCAAGAAACTGGGACAGATGGATGGAAGTTACAGAGGAAACTTTGAGCTAGTATAAGGAAGAATTTGCTAATAATTAGAGCCGTCTCAAAATGGAAGCCTTAGGTGAATGACCACTTGTTGGAGTCCATAGATTAGAACCGGAAATGACCTTAGATAAAGTCTAGTGCTTCTGTTTGGCAAATAAGACATCCGAGGCCTGGAGAAGTCCAAGGTCCAGTGAGTAATAAGCGATCGAGTTGGGCTTTGAACCTTACTCCATTATCCCACATTGTAAAGCAGATTCATGCTTCAGGTGGATTTTAGGCTTGGTAATGGCCTGGCTCCTGCAAACTTGACTCTATGAGAGTGTCAGAAGTAGCCTCAGAGTTTGTGAAAGCATTAACATTTATGGATGGTTTATTTGTTGTATAGAAATCTGGATCCATTTAGGCAGCTTATCTCTGTGAAGATTGTGCTCAGATTTGATAGCACCGTGAGACCTGCAGCTCGTGGTGTTCAGCCGCAGTAGGTCATCATTGACCTGGTTCTCTCCTTTGCTTTGCAGTATGTGGGTGAAGTGTTGGAGAATGAAGTGGACGCAGTCATTACAAAGTTAAAAGTGACTGATGCAGATGTTCCTAATACTCCAGCATGGACAGCGGTCTATTCTATCCTAAATGATGAAAAGGGTCTCTTTGCTGTTACCACTAACCCAGCAACCAATGAAGGAATTTTGAAAACAGCCAAGGTTTGTGTGTGGTATGGGGAGATGGGCAGAGACCATAGAAAGTGGCCATGAGTTGTCCCGTAACCTGGGCAGCAGATTTGGTGATAGTGAGTGGGTTTGGGTCGAGGTCATCATTGTCATTGTTGTTATTTTTATTTCCAGGTAAAAAATTTTTTTCCAACAAAAAGTTGATCTTACCATTTCTCTACCCACTCCTTTCTTTATCAGGGTTTGGATTTTGAGACCAAGCAGCAATACATTCTTCACATAACAGTAGTGAACGAGGTTCCATTTGTTGTCAGCCTCCCTACCTCTACAGCCACAGTCACTGTGGATGTCATGGATGTGAATGAAGCCCCGGTCTTCATGCCACCAGTTATGAGAGTCGAGATACCAGAAGATTTCGAGTTGGGTGCTAGAATTACATCCTACACCGCTCAGGATCCCGACAAGTTTCAGTCACAGAAGATAATGTAAGAGTGAAGGATGATACACACACATGCACACGCGTGTCTATGTTTGTGAGAACCACATTATTTTGCATGTAAATAGATTCAATTTTGATAAAATGGAAAAGCACCAGAATTAACATTTTAGAAAACTAGTTTCTAGTTAGTCCTGACTCAATCATTAGCTGTGAGCAAGTTAGTTAACCTCTGAGCCTCAATTTTTCCATCTGCAAAATGGAAATAATATTTACTTATTCCAGAAATTCTTAACTTTCTTTGTTGTTGTTGTTATGGACCCCTTTGGCATTCTAGTGTAAAACCTATGGATCTCATCTCAGAATAACGATGTTAAATGTCTGAAATAAAATCTATGATTACAATGGAAACGAATTATATTGGAATAAGTAGAAATTTTTTTTTCCATCCAAGTTCATGGACCCCACGAAATCCATCCAAGGTGGTCCATTTATCTCAGGTTGAGAATCCTTGATCTGGGTTCTTATAAGGATATAATGAAATAACGTATATAGAGCTCTTAGTAGTATAGAAAGCACTGTGAGGGAGGGGGGCAGGAATGTTGTTGTTCAGTTGTTTTTTAGTTGTATCCAACTCTTCATGACCCCATTTGGGGTTTTCTTGGCAAAGATACTGGAATGGTTTACCATTTCCTTCTCCGTGTCATTTTACAGATGAAGAAACTGAGGCAAACGGGGTTAAATGACTTGCCCAGGGTTACACAGCTAGTAAGTGTCTGAGTCCAAACACTTCTCATTAAGAGGAGTCTTCCTGATTGCCCCACCTAGCTGTCCCATTCTGCATTTAAGAGAAAAGCTCTATAAGCTCAGAAGAGTCCCATGGTGGGGCAATCAGCTGACCATTAGACTAGGTAACAGGCTGAGGGCTTTGCCTTATCTAAGTCATCTTGACATTTACTGCCCATCTGGGCTCTGAAACTGGAAAACCATTTGGAAAGACATAACTTTTAAGTCAGTTGTGGTACAAGTAATCTGAGAGACGCAGATTTTGAGTTGGTTGGCTAAAAGTTGGATGCAAAATTCACCAAAATGGTTGAAAAGTTTTGCGTTTTTGTGTTTGTTTTGCACTGGTTCAGACAGGTTGAAGTCGGTGTATTTTTGCCTGGGTGACCTGCTACCCACCTCCTCTCTCCCACCTCCTTCTGCCCCCAGTGAGAAAGAAAAATAAAACCCCGATAAAAACATGTATAGTCTCACAAAATAAATTCCTGCATTGGCTACATGCCAATAACCCCCCCCCCCCCCAAAAAAAAATGGTAGCTCCAGAGTCCACCACCTCCATCAGGAGATGGGTAGCAGAGCTTCATTGTGGGTACTCCATCTTTTAGAAACTAGTTCTGGCACGAGATCTATAGGCACTGAAGGTTTTTGTTCTCTCTCTCCATAGATGGAGATTATCTTCTGTTCTCCATTACTTAGATTTACAAGGCCAGCTTGATAGAAATCGGTCCTCCTTTGGTATGGTGACATTGTCTGTCCATTTGCCCACTGTAGGGATACGGACGTGAAAACGACAGGCAGTATGATATAGTAAATGGAGAACTTGCCTTAAATGAAATTATAGGTTGAGTTTTTGTTTTCTTAAGAGATAAGCCTACCCTTTGACCCAGCAATAGCACTTCTAGGGCTATATCCCAAAGAGATCACACAAACAGGAAAAGGACCCACATGTACAAAAATATTCATAGCAGCTTTTTTTGTGGTGGCAAAGAATTGGAAATTGAGAGGATGCCCATCAATTGGGGAATGGCTGAGCAAGTTGTGGTATATGAATGTGATGGAATACTATTGTGCTATAAGAAATGATGAACAGGCTGACTTCCGAAAAACCTGGAGAGACTTGTATGGTCTGATGCTGAATGAAGTGAGCAGAACCAAGAGAACGTTGTACACAGTAACAGCCATGTTGTTTGATGACTAATGTTGATAAACTTAACCCGTCCTGGCAATACAAGGATCTAAGACATCTCCAGAGGCCTCATGATGAAAAATGCTATCCACACCCAAAGAAAGAACTATGGAAGCTGAATTGTTATTTTTTTCTCTTCTGTTGAGTTTTGTTTCCTCTTTCTGATGGTTCCTCCTATTGGTTTTAATTTCTACTTACAACATCACTAATGTGAAAATATGTTTAATATGAATGTAAATGTATAGCCTATATCAGATTATGTGCCATTTTGGAGAGGGTGGTAGGGAGGAAGGGGGAGAAAAATTTTAAACTCAAAAGCATATGGAAGTGATTATTGATAAATCAAAATAAATTAAGAAAAAAAAAAGAGTAAATAAGCCTAGACACTGTCTTATTTTTGAACTATTTTGGTTTCTCTGCTATCTTATGAGGATCACCAAGAATTCACTGGAGGCGTATTTAAATGGACTAATGTAAAGACCGACTCAGTGATGTATATGTTCCTTACCATCCTTTCAGGTATCGAATTTGGAGGGATCCAGCCAACTGGCTGGACGTTAATCCTGAGTCGGGGGTCATTTCTACTCGGGACAATCTGGATAGAGAAAACATTGAGTATGTGAAGAACAGTACCTACACAGCCCTCATTGTGGCCGTGGATGATGGTAGGGTTGTTATGCTTGTATTGTTTTCTGCTCTTCTCTTCCTCCCTAGTTCTTCCACCTCCAAAGGCATCAACTAGGTAGCGTTGGGTTTGGGGTTTTGTTTGTTTTTTGAAAGGAGGAGATGGTTCAGACTTCATTAGATACATAGTTAGCATGTTGTATAGTTTGTTTTCAATTATTGTTTGTTTGTTGTTGTTTTTTTTTTTTTTTACCATTTTGAAAATTTTGATCTTCAAATGTAGGTGAATATTTCAACATAAAAAGAATTTTAAAAGAGGATATGTATATGAGACCAAGAACTTCTGTTTGGGTGTTTTGTTTTATTTTTAAGTATATATTGAATTTAACATGATAATAACAAAAGTTGCTTTTACTTTCTTTTATATTTTAATGTTCTTATCTATATCACTACCCATTGACTTCCCTTTCCCCCTTTGCCCCTTGTAATACATATAGTCAAGCATGCAAATGGCCATGTGTGAGAATATGTGCCCTTACTCTGTACCTCTAGTCCATTACCTCTCTGCCAAGAGGAAGGAGGCGTATTTCATTGTCAGTCTTCTGAGATCATGATTTAGTGGCTACATTGCTCAAAGTTCTGAGGTCCTTCCAGATTGTTCTCCTCTACCTTCTTGGAGTGGTCATGCTGTCCTGGTTCAGTTCATTTAATTCCATATCGCTCCATACTGATCTTCACAGATATCCTTAATCTGTCATACTTAGGGTTTTTTAAATAATGTAATTATATTCCATTATAATAATATGTTTTCTGTAAATGTCATCTGACATGCTGTCACTTAGTGTTCTTGACAAAATTCCTTCACCTATAGTGTGAGCCTGATTCTAAAATCTTATCTTGGATCGTGGAAATATTGCTTCCTTAATTAGGAGCTGAATAAAATCAATATTGAGGACCTAGTTACCATTTAATTTTTTTAGGGTAGGGGAATGGCGATTACAGGTGAGCATGTATTGTGGGAGGGTGGATATGTTTGGAAGATAGTTACTGGGGTCTGAGGAGATTAGAGGGTGTTGAAAGCTAGATAAAGGAGGAAAGAAAGTAATAAGGATCCATCATAGGTTACTGAATGAGGTAGTGCCATTTCTTCTCTTAACCTCTTCCAGCTAAGATGTCTTTCTCTGCTCCTTTCCTTAGGTTCTCCTCCAGCCACGGGCACAGGAACCCTTCAGTTGTTTCTCTTGGACATAAATGATAATGGTCCAGTACCTGAACCTCGAAGCATGGACATTTGCCAGAGGAATCCAGAGCCTCAGATTATAAATATTGTTGATCCAGACCTTCCACCAAACACTTCCCCCTTCATGGCAGAATTAACACATGGCGCTAGTGTTAACTGGACGATTGAATTTAATGATAACGGTAGGTATCCAAGCCTCTTTGCAAGCTGATTAGAAGGACATGGCTTCTTCAATTTTCTGTCTACAGTAGTCAGTAATAGTCAATAAACATTTATTAAGTGCCTCTTATGTGCCAGATACTGTGCTAAGCACTGGGAATACAGATACAAAAAAGGAAAGACAGTCCCACCCTTAAGGAGCTTACAGTCTAATGGGGGAAGATAACAAATGAGGAAGCTGAAATGCTGGACCATGGTGGAGATTTCAGAGAAGTCCCATCATTAGCTTTGCTTGGTTTCCATTTGGACTTAACAGTTTTTTTTTCTTTTTGGTGAGGCAATTGGGGTTAAGTGACTTGCCCAGGGTCACACAGCTAGTAAGTATCAAGTGTCTGAGGTGAGATTTGAACTCAGGTCCTCCTGATTTTAAGGCCAGAGTTCTATCTACTGCACCACCTAGCTGCCACTTGGTTTCCATTTGGGAATACCATGCCTCATTCAGGATAAGATGATCACCTGAAATCTCATCACTATGCAGATTGACTTAAGTTTTTGTAGTTAATTCTCCATTTTCCATCAGCGCCTTATGTCCTCTGGTACCCCAGTCCCACTTTTCATCTTCCTTTTGTGTGTTATGTTCCCCCATTAGATTATAAGCTCCTTGAAAGCAGAGATTCTTTTTCTTATTTGTGTCCCAGCACTTAGCATAGTGCCTGGCATATAGAGCATAGTAGGTGTTTAACATTGAATTGAAAATAGTATAGATATAGCACACAGTAGGTGTTTAACAAATATTTATTGAATTAAAAATAGTATAGCCAGGGAGGAAATGAGGAAACCTCTCCTGGGGACTTCAGGCATGGCTCCACCCTCCCATCAGAGAGAGAGAAGGTGGTGTCCCAAGGCTGATGAGATCTTACAGGATGATGGGATTTTCCCAAGGAGGAGATATGGTGGGAAAGGCAGTCAGGAATCCCAAAGTAGTGTGTCTGGGTGTTCTGAGCTGAGCCTCCTCCTTAAATGGAGGTTTTAGAATTCATGGCTCCGCTGCTCTATCACTGTGCCCAGTGCAGTGCTGGCGACCTAACCATTCTAGATGAAATTAATTCTAATTCTCACAGGTGTTCCCTCTCCCCTTCTCTCTAATCTAATCTAAATTGACCACATATGTACGTATGTTTTATTGATATCTTTTGTTTACTACCAGCTGTTTATAAGTGCCCCCATATGTTTACATACTTGCCTTCCCTTGTTACAAAGTAAAACCAACATAGGAACCACGTTTTTCATCATGTGCACTATTCTGCACCCATAATATTTTCCCTCTTCTCCCTACATCCCCCCCATTCTCTCCATGGAAGAGAGGGAAGCATGTTTCCTCATCTTTCCTTTGGGACCAAATAGGTTATTATAATTAGTGTTGGGCTTTGTTTTGATGGATTTTTTTCAATCATTTACATTATAATCGTGTCAGTTTCCTGGTTTTGCTTACTTTACTCTGTATTTGTTCATACAAGTCTTTTATTTATTTATTTAGTGAGGCAATAGGGTGAAGTGTATTTGCCCAGGGTCACACAGCTAGTAAGTGTCAAGTGTCTGAAGCCACATTTGAACTCAGGTCTTCCTGAATCCAGGGCTGGTGCTCTATCCACTGCACTACCTAGCTGCCCTCCCCTTATATTTACGTGTTACAGTTTATTCAGTTACTTCCCAATTAATGGCTATCTCCTATTTTTCTTGTTTGCCCACTACAAATAGGCAAAAGTGTTGCTGTGAATATTTTGGTCTACATGGGACCTCTCTGTCATTTGGAATGTCTGAGTCTAAGGGTCTGACCGGTTTTGCGACTTTTTTCTCATACATCTGCAATCTGATTTCTAGAACGGTTGGATCATTTTATCAGAGTCAAACTGGAATGCATTCCAGGTCCAACACTGTTCTGTAACAAGCTAAAAACAGGTTTTCATGGTCATAGAATCATAGAGCTGAAAGGGACATTGAAGGTCATGTGGGACAATCTTAACCTGAAGCAGGAGCCTTCTACTTGTAAGAAATTCTTTGTTGAGCCCCTGGGACTGCCTTTCAGTGGCTTTCACTTCATTCATTAGCCCAGCTTATACTTCCCAGAGCAAATCAGCGTCTAGTACTACCCCGTGTCACTTGAATTTGAGGTTGAGGGTGGATTCTTTCAGCCATACTCTGCTACCCTTCCCCAACAGTGTAATATAATGCAGGATTGGAGCTCAAAGGAGCAGAGATGGAAGAAAGTGTTCTTCATAATCCCAATTATGTCACCATCCCAATGTTGGTCACACAGCACAAGTAGGTAGCTTGTTTATGAATAGGAAGAGCTCTGCTAAAACTAGAAATTGGATTCTGGGGGCAAGTAGTTACTTTTCTTTGTCAATTTGTTCAACTGTAAAATGAAGAGGTTGGATTACTTATCTAAGTTCTAGGGTCCCTCCCATTTCTAAAATTTTATGGATCTATGATTACTTCTCTTGGTATTCTTTTGTATTCCACTGAAATATAGCTAGCTGCTTTCATATTTTACTCTAGAACAAAGATTCTTAACCTGTGTGCACTGAACCTCTACAGAGTATAGATTTCAGGGAGTCTATGAATTTGTTTTTTATTTTGGGAACTATATTTCTTATGCTTTCTTAACAGCAAGAGAATCTCTGACTTTGAGGCCAAAGAAAGAATTAGAACTTGGGGAATACAAGATAAATCTCAAGCTGACAGACAACCAGAATAAAGACCAGGTGACCACCTTGGAGGTGTACGTGTGTGACTGTGAAGGTGCTGTGTCCAAGTGTGTGAAGACGGGTGTAATTGCCCAGACTGGCGTGGATGTACCGGCTATCCTGGGAATACTAGGAGGAATCCTTGCACTGCTGAGTAAGTGACTAATTAATAGATGCCATCTTCTGGGAGTCTTGGACTTCATGGGCTCATCTCATACAATTGGGGAAGGTTAAGTCAAATAAACAAGTACTTTGTGTGTGCCAGGCACTGTGCTAAAAGCAAACCTCTCCTTTCCAGCAGCTGATGGTAAAAGGGAGATGAAGTTTGTTAAGAGCCTCCTCTCCTCACCAGTCTCTCTCATCTCAAAGCCAGTCTTCATGCAGCTGTCACATAACCTTTGCTAAGGGATGACCATGGTGTTGACCTTCCCAAAAATGTTCAGTGACTCCTGATTTCTTCTAGGAGAAAATACAATCATCAGTTCAGGTCCATCCTACCTTTCCAGTCTTCCCTCATCACTTCATTCAGTCTTTTTGGGGGGAGGAGGGGGGGTTTGGCAATGGGGTTAAGTGACTTGCCCAGGGTCATACAGCTAGTAAGTGTTATTTGTCTAAGGCTGGATTTGAACTCAGGTCCTTCTGAATCCAGGGCTGGTGCTCTATCCACTGCACCACCTCGCTGCCCCATTCAGCCTATCTTACAGCCAAACTTGGCCACTACCTGTTCCCTGAATTCGACATGCTCATTTCCTCTGTTCCCATGCCTGGAACATATTCCGCCACTCCCCTTGTCTCCACATTTTAGAATCTTCTTTTCTCGAGTCTCAGATCAAGTATCTGATTTCCCTGATTCTCTACCCTATAGCTGAAAATTTCCTTCCTCTTAAATTTCCCCAGAGCTTCCTCTTCAGATTGTCCTCATGATATTCTCCCTTGAATTATTCATATTTGTGTACAGGTCCTGTTCTTTCCACCCACTTCACACCCTATTATATAGAATGTTTACTCCTAAGGGGCAGGGATCATGCCATTGGTTAGGTTCCTTCCAGTAATTAGCACAGTGCATTGCATACACCTATTGGGCATTTAATAGACATCTTGAATTGCTTGTTGATGGGAGGCGAAAATGAATTTGGGGAGTAGATACGTTGAAACCAAGTTATATTGAAATTGAGTCTGGAAATTGAGGTTTAAATTTGGAAATAAGAGATTATTATCAAGCGTTTTGTGGTTGAACAATCATGAGAAGTGATTGTTTGCCCCTAGAATGTGTTTCTGCTACTTTGACCACTGCTGGTCTGCCTCAGTACCCTGGACCCTGTGTCTTCATGGTAGTTGTGTGTTAAGGTGTGTTCAGATACCCACTCTCCTATACTGTCCTCCCTCTGTGGAAGTAGGGAAGTTTCACACTTCTCCTGGGTCTGTGGATATTAGATCCCCACTGAGTGCCCCAATACATGCAGACCTCATCATCTTTCTTCTTCCTGCAATAAACCCTGTACCCTCTGGAAGCAGGAAAGGGCTAGGATTGGCAGCTTCAGGATTTGGAGATGCCATTTCTAAGTCAGAAAATGGGCCTTGAGGTCAACTTTTGAGGGGTTCTTGGGAATGACAGGAAGTCCTAATGTCAACCAAGAACACCATGTTGTATTTTTATTTCAATAGCATTTGGTTCAGTCTGTCGATATGCATTTATTAAGCACCCACTAGGTCTCAGATACTGTGCAAGATGCACTAGGGATACAAATAGGAAGAGATCTCTAGGGGTTACCAGTCCAACAGTGGGAACAATAAGTATATTCTGAAGTTTAAACACTAATGATTTAGTCAGTCCTGTGTCCCAGGAGCTTTCCTCCCATGAAGCAGATCACAGCCTCTCTGTAGATGATTGACTGGTCCTTGAAAGAGTGGCTATGGCCAGAAACCTCATTCTATTATAGAATAACAATAGAGAACATTCACATTGCACTGTTAGGTGCTTTATACACTATTTAATTTGATCTTTATGACAAGGTAGGTTGTCTTATATTGCAGGTTGACAGCTAAGGAAACTGAGGCTGACAGGTTAAGCAATTTTATTTTTTCCAATTACACGTAAAGATAGTTTTCAACATTCATTTTTTATAAGATTTTGAGTTCCAAATTTTTCTCCCTCCCCAAGAGAGCGGCAATCTGATACAGGTTACCCATTTGCAATCATGTTAAACATATTTCCACATTAGTCATTGAACCTGTGTTTTGATAGTTCTACCCACTGTGCCACACAACATCCAGTCTTGAGGTGAGCTTTTCCAAATTCAGTAACTTATACCTAGTCTGTCACTGGCCTCATATTAGAATCCTCCCCTACTTGGTAGGACCAAGAGGAGCTTGGTCAGAAATAAGTTTAGAAATGAACTCAACTTTGCCGCCTCTCCTCTTATGAATTCAGCATAGGTTTTGGGGGTATAATTTTATTTATTTAATAATAATAAGGATCTCTTGCCCCTATCAAACATGAAAGACACCTTAAATAAATAAAATTATACCCCCAAAAACTTACATTATTTTCTAATCATATTTTTCTTTCCATTTTTTTTTTTGGACATTTCATTATTCTTTAGTGCGTTTTGCTGTCCTCATTATTCCATTTCTTATCGCTTAGTTTTACTGCTGCTGCTGCTTCTCTTTATCCGAAGAAGGCCAGCGGTGAAAGAGCCTTTACTGCCCCCTGATGATGACACCCGGGACAATGTCTATTATTATGATGAAGAGGGAGGCGGAGAAGAAGATCAGGTTGGTTTAAGTAGCCCCTTAAAAAAAGTTCAAAGTTATGTGTCTCTGCTACACCTTAATTAAAGTCTGGGCTAGTAAGCAGCCTGGTTGGGCTTTTATTTGTTCGGTTGAATCTGATTTTATAGGTAGGCTGAACTCAAGTCCAGATCCTTTTGCCGCTTTGCTAGAAATTACCCAGGCAATCCACAATCTCTGAGTATACTTTACCTCTATATTCTTAGAAATTTGTCTCGTTCTAATATAGACAGGATAGTTGACATTTATATTATATATACCTTAAAGGCTTTTATAGCACATTATCACATTTAGCTACCAATACCTCTCTCAAGTAGGTAGTGGAGTCCCATTTGACAGATAAGGCAATTGAGAACTCACATGTCTAGTATATGTGAGAAACGATTTAAATCTTGGTCTCTATTGACATAAAGCCCAAGATTCTTTCCATCTCGTGATGCCGCCTCTTTAGATATGTATACACAAACATTTAACAGTAAGTCAGCACCGATCATCTATTATTTATATATGTCTTAAGGCATAAAAAATTACGATATAAAAAGTTCCTATAGCACTTAAGTTGGTATGCCCTTTTATTTCCTGCTGAAAACTTCTCCAGAATAATCCATGATCTATAATCTAAAAGTTTACCTTTGACATATTTGGTTCCTTTTGGGACATTCCCTTGTTTATAATTTGTTTTTCATTTGTTTGTTTTCCACTTTCTTTCATAAAGGACTTTGACTTGAGTCAGTTGCATCGGGGCCTGGATGCTCGACCAGAAGTGATTCGTAGCGACGTGATACCAACACTCATGAGTGGCCCTGAGTATCGCCCTCGACCAGCAAATCCAGATGAAATTGGCAATTTCATTGATGAGGTAAAAGAACAGGTTCGAGAACAGAAGTGTAATTTGTATTTAAACCTAGCGATTGTCCTTACAACAAAGGGAAGGAAGGAATGATGGATGGATGAACCAACCCCCCAAGTTGTCTTTTCTCCTCCTTTCCATGGTTTCTCCTCTCTATGTAGGACCTTAAAGTTACCTCATTTTAATGGGGATTTATTGAACTTCAGATCAGCCTTAGAGAATCCAGAAAGTCTGCATGGCAAGAATAAGAGCCCCTTAAATTAGAAGCATCAAAATATTCATTCACCAAAAACTGGTCAACAGCACAGGGCCAATGGAGAAATGCCTGGGGAGCCTTGGCCTATGCCTTTTAGGGTTTTTAATTAGTGTCTTGGCTGAAGGGTCAGATGGTTCTGCCTGTCAGATTTTCAGATAATACCAAATTGGGATGTTGTGTGATAGTCATGATTCACAGACATCTTGAGAGTCAAGAAGGACTGACTGAATTGGATGGTGAAACTTATTAGTGTCTATACTTGGGTTTGAAAAGATGAACCCAAATGAGATGGGGAAGATAAGGCTAGACAACAGGATCTGTACGAATTCAAGCTGGGAAGAACCCTTAGATCTTTTAATGTAGGGAGTCCATGAAGTTGGATGAAAAAAAATCCGATATCTCTATTTTCACTAACTTTTGGTTGCCTTTGTAATCCTCTGCATTTTATGTTTTGCATTTAAAAACATTATTCTGAGAGGAGTTCCATAGGCTTCACCAGATTGACACAAGAAAAGTTAAAAACTCTTGCTCTTTTTTTTTTTAAAGTAATCAGGGTTAAGTGACTTGAACTCAGGTCCTCCTTATTCCAGAGCCATCACTCTATCCACTGTACCACCAAGCTGTCCTGAGAAGAACTGCTCTTAACCTAGGTCCTTCATTTTACAGATGAGGAAATCCAAGCCTCAAGGGCTATATGCCTATATATATGTAAAAATAGCTGGGATTTTCTGTGGTGACTCAGAATTCATTACCTAACACCTATCACAGAAATATATTGATGTCTACACCCGTAGTCCCCCATTTTTTGCTAAAAAGGGAGGGCAGGATAGAGGTATCTAGAATACTTTTTAAGGATGACCTTCTCTTCCCTCTCTTAGAAACCAGCTATGGAAGTCAGGTGCTTTATAGGGAGCTGTGTAGTGCACTGGGCCAGGAGCCGGGAAGACCTGAGTTCAAAACCAGCTTCAGACGCTTACTAGCTTTGTGTGACCCTGGGCAAGTCACTTAGAATGAGGATGACAAATAGCACTTATCTCCTAGTTGTAAGGGTCAAATGAGACGATATTTGTAAAGCACCTATTAGCATAGTGTCTTGCACACAGTTGGTGCTTAATAAACGCCTTTTCCCTTTCCTTTTAGCTGTTTGGAAGGATAAGAGGGAGGGTGTTTAGTTAATGTTGGTCGTATATATTAGGGCTTCTTCTGTGCGTGTGTCACAAGAACCATGGGAGGATGAAATAACCCAAATGCCACGGCAGGCTAAGCCTCCGTGCTAATCATGAGCTTGAGATTTCTTTGACTACAACATCTGTTCTCCGTTTCTCATAGAACCTGAAGGCGGCTGACAGCGACCCCACAGCGCCCCCTTATGACTCCCTGCTCGTATTTGACTATGAAGGCAGCGGCTCTGAGGCGGCCTCCCTGAGCTCCCTCAACTCGTCTGGCGCTGACGAAGACCAGGATTATGATTACCTGAACGAATGGGGCAATCGCTTTAAAAAGCTGGCCGACATGTATGGCGGAGGGGAGGATGATTAAAGGCAGAGCCTGGGGCTCAGAGTCAAGAAACAGTCTCCAGGGGCTATCATCCCCAGGATCAGGAGAAAGAGGCACGTGTGATCCAAGTGCTATCTGTTCCTCGCTCAACTGTGTAACAAAAATAGGAATTATTGCTAATTTACAAGGTTAGTTTTCTATTTTAAGGCTAGTATCAGTTCTCTCTTCCTACTCTCACCCCTCACCTTTAATTTCTTGAGAGACACAAGTAAAGGTTTCAGCAAGTAAAGGAAATCTGTTTCAAGGGCAGTTTTTCCAGTCTTAGAGCCACCATGTTGGTGGGCACTTCTTTGGGGCTCTGCCTAAGTTGATAATAAAAATAGATGGCAGCTGGCCCCCCACTCTCTCTCACCTCTGCACCCCCTTTTTAAATGTGTGTAATGTTTTTTTTTTATTTGTTTTCATTTTTACTTTTACTTTGGTTCTAAATCGATTCCTTCCCTCTTCTATCATCGCATCTTTCCAGGCAGGAGCTCTCAGAAGCACATACCTTACTTCACATTTATGGGCAAGACTGGCCACGGCCATTTTATAAACTTGACATCATGGTGTCCATAAGTTTTCCTTTATCACCAGTTCATTATGTACAAGTATGTCTCAAGTTTGTGAAGGGATACTGGTCATGTAAGGGTCATTATTATTGTTGGAATTCTTTTGGAGAGATGTCACAGAAGGAGAAACTAACAGGAAATAGGGATTTTTTTCCGTGTCTCATAATTAATAGAATGAAATAATGATGCACCAACCAGGGAAGCGTTGACAGTGCAGTCGCCAAAGATTGGAGATGATAGGTTAGAGTGGAAGCAATAGCCAGAAGCATCGGAGAAGGAAGCTTTAACATGTCTTTGGAGAAGAGGATTCTATCCAGGAGGGGTGCTGCAGTTGAAACATTTGGTTTCAGAGGTTCTAGGTTCTCCTCAGATTTCCCAAGTATTGATTTTGGGTCATGTCTCCTGCATGCACTAGCAGACAGATAATAAGAAAAACTGAGGAAGTTAGCAAGCAGGCATCTTCCCTGGAGATAGACTAAATTGGCTGAAAGGCTTCTCCCCCTTTCGCCAGATCAACAGGTGAGGTGCTGAACAGAGGAGCTTAGACCAGATGTGGGGAACCTGCAGCCTCGAGGCCACATGTGGCCCTCTAGGTCCTCAAGTGCGGCCCTTTGACCAAATCCAAACTTCACAGAACAAATCCCCTACATAAAAGGACTTGTTCTGTCAAACTTGGTTCCCCACCCCTGGCTTACACTAATTGCCACGCACGAAGGAAATGTTTTGTCAGAATGGCCATTAAGGGTTTTTGGTGCTTTCTGTTCGCAATACCCCTGAAATGTCTTCTGTCTTTTGCAGCCAAACAGTCTGTGATGATTTAGCACTGTTTCTAGAATGCATCTGTTCAGGTCCTTTTAAATTTTGTACAGTGTGGGTGTGGAAGACAGCTGTGATCCATGTTGACAAGAATTAAACCCTTGAAAATGCATTTTTATAAATTATATTAAATAATTTTGTTAAACTGTTGTCAGACTGTTACCTTATTTGAACAGGCACCACAGTCCTGTGCCTCGAGGTAAAAGCACCTCCTGACCCTAGCTAGATGATGGATCCAAGGCTCAGTTATCCCTGAGAGTGTCATGAATTAATACTAATATTAAATTTCCTATGATTTAAAAAGTTCTATGTCCAAGAGGATTTTTAAAAATTGATACATTTTGTTTTGCCACAACAACAACAATAGCTAGTGTTGAAACAGTGTGTTGAGGCTGGCAAAGCACTTTACAATTATCTCAGTACAACCCTATGAAATAGGTATTATCATTACTCTCATTTTACAGATGAGAAAACTGAGGCTGAGAGAGATTAAGTGACTTGTCCAAGATTGCACAGCTAGTAAATATAAAAAGTAGAATTCAAACCCAGGTCCTGTACTCTAACCAATTGGACGTTCCCAACAAATAAAGCACTAACCCCTGACAGACTACATTTTATACATGTATACAACTAGGTGCAGCCGTAGATAGAGTGCTGGGCCTAGAGTCAGGAGGACCTCAGTTCAAATTTGTCCTCAGATACTTACTAGGTATAAGACCCTGGGTGAGTCACTTCACCCTGTTTGCCTCGGTTTCCTCCTCTGTAAAATGAGCTGGAGAAGGAAATGGAAAACCACTCCGGTAACTTTGCCAAGAAAACCCCAAATCAGTCACAGAGAGCTTGCCACATTGAAAGGACTCAACAATAATAGCATATACACAGGTACGCATGTGTATTCATTGTCTATAGGTATTATATACTTATATCCTCTCCCTTTCCCCCCCACCCCATGCTTGGTATCTCTGTGAGCCTTAGGTCAGCCATTTAACAAATCTCTGGGCCCCAGTTTTTTCATCTGGGATTAGACTTGATGCCCCCCAAGATAGCACTGAACCAGCAGGGGCCACAGTGGAGCAGAATGACACTCCCCCTTCCAGGGGTAACAGCAGAGTTGAATTTATCATGGTACTGGAACTGGGAGTAAAGTGGGGGATTGCTCAAGACATGAGAATGATATAGGATGGCCAGGTGAGAAGATGGCCTTGCAGCAGGGAATGAAATGGGGATTGGCTGAAGCTTTTCTGAAATGCAGTGTACATATGGGTCCTTTCCATCTGTCTTTGATCACTTTGGAGGATAGACCTAATAGTTGTATCACTGCGTTCAAGGGCATATATATGCCGGTTTAATGGCTTTTTGGACATAGTTCCAAATTGTTTCCATTATGGCTGGACATGGGTGGACAACTTCACTAACAGTGTATTAACATACCATACCCCTCCCCCAAATCCCTCTAGCATTTGTCATTTTCATTTTTTGTCAATTTTGCCAATCTGATGGGTATAAGGTGGCACCTCAGATTTGCATTTATTTGCATTTCTCTAGCACAGTGCCTGCCTCATGGTAGGTGCTTAATAAATGTTGGACTGTTGACTAATTGTCAGTCATTTAGAGCACTTTTTCATATGGCTATTGATAGTTTCAATTTTTTCCTCTGAAAACTGCAAGTGACACTCATCTTTAATGTTTCTAAGGCAGCCTATGTCTCACCACTATATAGCAGCAAATAAAATGTTAGTATTGAAAAGACTGGCTTTTGTTTTCATGGGAAGCCTGCAGTCAGTAAAATGGCTTTGCAGTTACCCGAAAGTAATCCAGCCTACTCTATTCCTCTTACATTCAGGACCCAGCTCAGTGTCCGTCTGTACAGTCCGATCCAGGCATACATACTGTCGGGATATCTTTCCAAATGCATGAAATCTCGGCAACTGACATTCTTCATCCACTTGGTCTTTCCTTCCTACAAAGGGCAACTTTTTCTGAGAGATTACAGCTCTCTACCAGGAGAAGAGAGCAATGCTTCGATATTTAGTGTCATTAGCATAATGTCATCCATAAACAAACCATTTGGAAGACCCACCATCTGTACCAAATACCTCCTTTCCCTGAACTCTGCTCTGGATCAGCTCCATCATGTTGGCAAGCATGGATGTCCCTGTTTTATGCTTCATCTGTTGTTTATTACCAGCAGCCCTTTGCACAGGGTTATTTGTGGCCTTATATCTTCCAAGAAATCTCAGGATTTTTCTATATGGATGGGAGATAACTTCCTGCAAAAGAGCCTCTGGGGCTGGATGAAATGTACCTCCTTGATTTCTTCCTTCTCTGTTGAAGCTCAGCCCCACTCCATCACCTTTCTCCTACTGCTGGTGTTCATGAGTCTTTCCAGCTCAGCTCTTGAGCGCTCAGCCCTGTTCTTCTCGGTCTGTTTCTTTAAGACTGTGTATTTTTCTCTTACAAGAAATCCAAGGTGGTCTTTAACTTAGTTCCTCCTGGCTCAAAGTTCGCAATGGTCCCAAATTATTCTCCAGGGTGGGAAGGGTAATGCTTCTCCCTTTGAAATAGAAATCCGGAGATGCCAGTCAGGTCTCAAAACTCATACCAGTCTTTTTCTCTTTAGTATCATTTCTACTTTGTCTATAAGCACATCTTGGATTATGACATTGGTGGTTCCACCCTTCATTCTTGATGGAAAACCCAGTTTGTTAAAATTATTTTTAGAAATCTTTTCCATTTTTCTTCTGATTGTAGCCTTTCTTCCATTTTCATACTTAGATATCCTTGGAAGGACATTGCTGAGTTACATGTCTAAGTTTTGTTTTTGTTTTTGTTTTTGGCTAGGCAATGGGGTTAAGTGACTTGCCCAGGGTCACACAGCTAGTAAGTGTTATGTGTCTGAGGCCAGATTTGAACTCAGGTCCTCCTGAATCCAGGGCTGGTGCTCTATCCACTGTGCCACCTAGCTGCCCCCCCTAAGTTTTCTTTAAACTGATTTTTACCCTCTACGGTTTCTCTTTGCTTTATGAGGATAGTTCATAATTATCCATTATTCTTTCTTAACTTTTTATTAAATAAATTTATATTTTGCCTTTAGTAGCTATGTCTCCATTTGACAAGCAAGCCAGATGTTCACCTACTAAGGTGCTTTCTAGGTTCCTTTGCTCTCTTTGTTATATCAATTAATTTCTTAAAGTTAAATTTTATTTCATTTTCAGATCTGCACTCTCTCTCTTCCATTTCCCCTCCCTCCACATCTCCAGCAAGAAAGCAAGGAAACCAAAACCCCTTTAGCAAACATGTATAGCAAAATAAATTCCCTCACTGGTGCGGTAATTAATTTGCATTGGTTAAATTCCTGGATAAAATTATAGTTGGTCTTTGTCACTTCTATTGTTTGTTTCTTATTTTTGATCAGTTTGTTTAAATCTGTTATTTCAATTGAATATCATATATTTTCCTCTTTTGGCTTATTACTAATTTTGATCTCAGCTCTAATGAATTGTTGGTCTGACTTTACATTTGATAGTTGATTCAGGCATAATTCCAATATCAATAACAAATGTTAAAATGAGATCTATTTCGTTCATTATGATGTTATTTAGTCCTTGACATATCCAGTGTCTAACACTAATTTTTTCAAAGAAAGTGTTCATGATATAGAGGCATGAAGCTCATCTATAAGTCTTGGACTTCTCATTCTTCCTGAACCATGTTTTCCCATATCCCCAAATATTTCTCTCCATCCTTATCTTCACAGTACAGTCACCAAGTTTGAAAGTATACATTGATTGGATTTGTAGGGTCTTGTCAAGTTCTTTGCAGAATTTCTCTACTACATTCTCAGCAATGAATGTGAGGGCATGAGGTTCAATTATTTTCATGGCAGTCTACTTGCATGTTCTTAGTACTAATATAATAGTACATGACAACCACGAAAAAAATGTTTCTTGTTGAATTTTGGGGTAGGATAAAACACTTTGCCTTTCCAAGGAGTACCCGTGAGCCATCCATCCTTCCATTTAGCAGATATTTCCTTCTTTCCTCTGCTTTCTAGGATTGAGCTCTTCCAGGAACATGCCCTCTTAACTGGTCATTGGACAACAATCTCATGTTTAGATTACCAAATGCCATATTAATGGTTTTGTTTTGTTTTGTTTTTGTTCTCATGGGTTGCTGTAGCAAGGCATGAAAGGAAAAAGATCAATCAATACTTTGAGTGCTTTGCTCCATATTGCTTGATAATCTTTCAACAGCTACAATCATTGGGATAAGAAATGACTGTGATTTATAGTAAGAACATAGTCCCCAGTAAAAAGCCTGTGTAACTGATAACACTATAGTCCCAGGTTAACCTGTGTTAACCTAGAGTGTATATTAAGCATGTAATCATAATGATCATCTTTATATTAAAGCATACGGAGTTACCCTAGGTTCTTGATGTGATTGCATGACCTGACCTATTGTGTAAAAGATGCTTGTGACCTGGACAAGCTGAGTGATGCAAAAGGACGCTGATTTGTGCCATAATAAGCCTATTTACACTACACATGAATCGAGACCCATAAATAACTGAATTTTGTATCTCAAGGTCTCAGACCATACTGGGCAGACTGTAGACCCTACCTTTGCTTCTCTTAATAAAGGCTGATTTCTTTGCCCAGAAAGGCTTCCCAGTTTCTTTTTTACAGGCAATATACATTTATTAAGCGCTTACTATGCTAAGTGCTGGATATACAAAAACAAGCAAAAAAAAAAGATAGTCCCCGCCTTCAAAGAGCTCAGGTTCTAATAGATGCTAAGTGAAGGTGGGGTTATATTGGGGTGAAGAGGTGATGGTTGTGTGTGTGTGTGTGTGTGTGTGTGTGTGTGTGTGTGTGTGTGTGTGTATGGGGGGTGGTGTCGTGGTGTCATGGTGTCTGTCTGAAAAGTCAGAAGCCAAGCCAGAAGGTGAATGAAGTTTGGCCAGACTGGGTCTCTCCCCAAAATAGCGGCCCTGGGAAGAACTCACCAATGGAAGATTGTAATCTTCATGGTGAGAAGGTCAAAAGAGCAAATGGGTATTCCAGGGTGTGGAGACCCCAGGTGCTGAGGGATGTCCCAAGGAGAGTCAAGGTATGGTAGCCTGGAAAGTCAGAATTGAGCTAGAAGA